GGAGACGGACGGTGTCGCGTTCTGCTGCCGGGCATCTAATTCCGCTTGCCCGTTGAATCTTTGAGCAGTTACCGATAGAATTACCGAGCTACGGCCTTTTTTTTAATATTTCCTTTCATGGAGAACTGGAAATTGACAGGGTTTCCGGTTGTAATCCTCGTCTGAAGGTCCTAGTTTTAGAAACCGATCCTTATTAGCTCCTTCAAGAACGAATCTTATTGCTGCAGACTATCTCAACCTGTTTAGTATCGAATGTAAATGATTATTCAAGATAAAAGGTAGATTTTGAGAATTGAACAAGTTTGTTAGGCATAGAAAGGCATAGTCATTTATTGAGAGTATTTGATGGTGGTTGTAATCCTGATCCAGATGATCCTGGGCCTAAACGCAACTCTATCTTACTCGTCCGAGCCCCAAGCTAGAGTATCGAATGCCATCAGTGCTACGAGGCATCTCCTAAAAATCACAGTGTCCTCTTACAACGGCCTCAATCTAATGAAGCCTGTAAATACCGAGAATCTTCTTATCTTATCACGCTCTTTATTGGGTGTGTCGCGTAAAGAGCTAAGGCAGAATAGAACCAGGATTCGCCGGACTAAATCAACGGCTGTTTTCCTCCAGGTTGAAGGTCAGAATTCAGGAATACCAAGATTGTCAAAATCTCCCTGAAAACAAGGAACCTGGTAGCCATTGGAAACTATTCGCCTTAAGTCCCATCCATTCACAATATCCTCCCAAGGAGTACACTCTAATGGAAGTACAGTTCATTTTACTTTACAGTCTTCTCAAATTCCACATTTTTCACATATTTTATATTCTACATAATTCATATTAGGTCTACCGGAAGGTTCTGTCCAATAACCTCAAGTTCTCAACGATGAGTCATTCTACAGAAATGGAATCCACCAATACCATCACTCTGAGAAGACGTAATTGCCAACGATGGAAATTCTATTGATCAGTAAATATTAACCCTTAACGCTTCAATTATTATCTCAACGCCATCGTCCAGCTTCGGTTTAACACTAACTACCGAATTCTTCTCTTACAACTATTGAAAAGATAGCAAATGCTTCTCTGAAGTATAAAAGAAATTGATTTAACATGCAAAGTGAATTTTACATTAATCGAAATCCCAATAGATATACTCTGAGAGTTTCCATATACTGTATCCATATATTACTGTTCATTAGTTCTAGCATTAAAAAACAAGCTGCTTGTAAATGTCTGTCCAATAATTTATAAATATAGTGACCATGTTAATTGCAAGTGTCCCCTCATTGAAGCGTTAAAGGTTATCTATTAAAAATGTATTATCATCTTTCATTCAAAAACCAGCGTAAGTCCCCGGTTGCCTTAATATTTAGTCCTCTCCGGAGGGATGGCAGAGTGTTAACAGGAATCCATGTTGCAGGATAGTTTCGGGCCCTGAAATTCAGAAAGTATGTGGATAAGAGCAGGTAGTCCGGTGCCCTGAAGAAGTTCAGGCCACCGGGTACATACCATATGTCGACCGTATGAGAAAACTGGTCGACGGTGAGACGTCTGCAGATTCCGTGGCCTCCTTAAGCAGCTTCTGCTTCCCTTCCTTCCCCAGCCCCGGCGCTCGTCTGACCATCCTCCGTGGAGTATGTGTATGTACTCGTTCCCAGAGTGCCGGCGCAGGCTGTCTTAAGCCCCACCAACTCTTTCCCGCGGCAATTATCTCTCTTTCTCTCCGGCGGGCCGCTCGTTCTCTCCACGGCGTCCGGCGAAAAAATCGACCAACGAGACGGACGATCGAGCTCCGTCGCATCGCCGCGCCGCGCCTGCCCAATCGAATGCCCCCCGCCTTACCCGAATGTTGGGCCCCGTGCATCATCGTAGAACGGACCCCAACGAGTGATTTCTGTTGGCAGTGATGTGGTACAGACGTGAAAAATAATGTTGATGAGTAGGTAACTGGTGTAAATTAGATGTTTCAGTTACGCTGGTCCATAGAATTCAAGTCTTCTTTTGTTCTGAAAGGTTTTAGGTCATTGTAGATGTAATAGGAATAGTATTGTTGTAATAGTATTTTTTATAATGAATTTCTTAAGAACTGAGGGTGTGTTTGAATTCAGTGTAGGGTAGTAGTATGATTACCTGGTAAACCTTTTGAGAGTAACATTATGTTGACCAGTGTTGCTAGTGTGAGAATCTTGTATTTCTGGGTGGAATTTAATCCTTTGTATTCTGCAGGCTCTACCAGGGCACTGTTTATATTAATATTTATATTATGTTAGTTGGGTTATTAATATTGTGCTGTTAAGTGTCATTATATTTATATACTGAACCCCTTGTTCTTAAAAAATGCTTATTCTATATCTACATTTATTCTAAAGCAATGTAATAGTTAATAGAAAAATAGTATTTGTGTTTGGATTAAGTGACATTTGCATTTGTTAATTTCTATTTGAAATCTTCACCATGAGTCAGACATTGTACAGCAAGGGGTTAATTAGATTGAAATTTGAATTCTATACATTCTATAAATTCCTGTCACTTTTCAATGTTTATCAATTTTATAGTTCAGCATGAGCAACGCGGTGAATAGAAGAAACGACAAGATTTCTTTGGTAAACAGACAATTAGTTTTGATTAAGGCAGAAAAGAGTAATTTGCACAGCGCTGTGACTTTCAATTCTCAGTACTGATTACAGTATAATGCCGTGTTAAAAGCTGTTTGCTCGCCACCGTTCCGCGAGACAATTCAACTTTCTATGAAAGTATATACGCGTACACAAGTACAATGCCTTAAACGCGGCGCTTCAACGAAACGGTACTCTTAATTCGCCGTAAAAGAGCGTCGCATGAATGCTCCTTTGTAATTAGGATTCTCCCGACTTTTCAATCGGGTTTCAGGCCGCCATCTTATCACCGCTGAACGAAAGGAATCTTTGATCTCATTAGAGAAACCCGGCAGAATCTTGCATAAGAGAAATTTCACTTCCTCGATCGGATGAAAACCAGCCTCCCCTCTTTTTCCTCCCCGGATGAATCGTCTCTATCCATGTATAGCCTCGTCTTTCTCGGTAGATCGATAACGATTCACGGTACACCGTGTAAAAACACGAGAAACCCAATTCTGAAAAGAGATCGTCATCGCGATTCAAAGAAGTCTCCAGTTCTGAAAGAAATCGAAATTCAAATATAATTAACCCTTTGCACTGGACACGTGACTCTCACTCACCACTTGATTTCTTACGGTAAAACTATATATATTAAAATTGATATTTAATATTATACCTCGTACAGTGCATCAATTTGAGAAATATTGAATAAAACATTGAAATAAAATATTGTGTGCAAAGGGTTAAATCCTTCGAAAATCGCCGTGCCTTTTCCACTGCAAATTCATATAAAATTAATTCTAACCCATTTGGTAGTTCCAGTATAAAACTACCCCTTAGAATTTCCAAACAAACAATAACCATAACCAAGAAAAAGCATAAATTACCCAAATTCCATCAAGAAGCAAACACAAAATCGCCTGCCTTTTCCATTGCAAATTCACACGAAGTTCATTCTACTCCATTTGGTAGTTCCAGTATAAAACTACCCCTTAGAATTCCCAAACAACGGTAACCTATAAAACAAAGAATTCATTAATCACCGAAATTCCATGGAGAATCAAACAGAAAATCACAAGCTAAAAAACAATCGAAGAAAACGTGCTCGCAGTGGGCGCCATCTGCTTACAGCCCTGAGTTCACTGTCATGGCTGCGCGGTGGGGGCAATGTTTGTGGTGGGAGGTGGTTTCTCGGGTCTCGTATTCAGTTACCGATACATCCTCGAAGGATGCACGTCGCCTTGCCTCGTTCTCCGCTCCTGCGAGTCGAGGTCGAAGTGAAACAACTGTTGCGCCCCGAGTTCCGTGCTCCAGGAGACAAAACCATTCGTTCCGTACGCCTATCAGTGAATCGTCCGATTGTGATTCTCAGTCAGCCCCGCTAATTCTTCTTCCCTCGATCGAACCCTCGGGGACACTTCTCCAGGAACCCCCATGTCTATCGCTTAAGGGTCCGTGCAGAATGAAAGCAAGAAAAAGTTGGCACATAGAAACGCGACTCGACGGAAAATAATATTTCACGTTTCCCTGGGGAGAAGGAGGCCGGCACTCGGATCTTCTCTGGGAACAACGAGGACCTTAATGCGGCCCTGCACGTCTCGAGCAGGCTTCGGGAAGAATCACGCGACGGGAGGCGGCCGGGCGGCCGTGGATCCGCGGCTCGGCGCAACAAGTGGTCGTCGGAGGCTGAAATGGAAACGGGACCGTGGCCCGTTCCCTCGCTCGGCTTTGCCCAGAATCTACTCTGAGGACTCCACGACGGGACGAAAGTGGCTCGAGGTCGCGGCGTCTCGCACGTATCTTCGAATTCTTCGTTGAACTCGTGTCACACGCTGCGGGGAACCGAACGTCCCCTCCTCCCCCCCTGCCCCGTGTAACCTCGGCTTCCTTGAACCGGAGAGATCTCGCCTTTTCATCCAATCGTGAAAGTGGCCCGTGCTCTCGATAGAGATGCTCCTCAGGAATCTTGGAAAAGTTTCCGAAGTTTCGTGGCTCGATGGATTTTCAATCGAATAGTCACGTGATCAATAAGTGTTGGATTTTAGTGACATTAAATCGTCGCTAAGTGTTATATTAGTGATCGGTATTGATTTGATTTAGGGAATCCTCGAAGGATTTAATAATAATAATAATAGTCTGGTTATTTGAACGAGAGGTTTAGGGCGGGTTCAGAGATGAGTCGCTTATCGATCGGGATCGCGTGCCCCCGTCCACGAAGGACAAAGTCGATCGAGGTGAAAGACGCTGTCACTGACTTTGTAACGTGTCGACGTTGAACCGATGTCGCGTGTCGTGTCCGACCGAGAGGCGGCAACCGAGTCCCGTTTCGAAATATGAAATTTATTCGATCGAGTGACTAGTGAAACGGTGACGGTCGACCATGATGAAGTTCAAATCGCTGTTTCGCAGAGGACAACAAAACCAATCGTCGCAGCAGCCGCAGCAGCAGCAGCAACAGCCGCAGCCGCAGCAGCAGCAACCGACGCAGCCGCAGCAGCAGCAACAGGAGCAACAGATCCCGCTGCGACAGGCTGCCAGCGCCTCCTCGCTGGAAGCGAAGAACGAGAACCCCGCCGTGGGGAATTGGGGCTCTCTCGGTAAAGAAGGGGTCAAGGGGAACTCCAAGGGGAACTACAACTCGAAGGGACCCGCGAAGGGTTCCAGGATGCAGGAGCTTGAGCGTGAGATCGAGGTGTTGCGCAAGGAACGCGGCCGGCTCGAGTCGAACCTACGTGAGGCGTCCTGCGACGCTCAGAATTTTCGCGAGTTGCGCTCCGAGCTCGCCTCTCTGAAGGTAATGAGGTATGATAAGGATACGTACTGCCGGGTGGTCACTTGATGTCTGGAGCAGTGTTTCACAACGTGGGCGATTTGATTTTTAATAGTAAAACTACCGGACGGGTCAAAATGTCAAACCTAGTGTCTCCTTTTTGCCATTATTAAGATAATAAATATTTCTCTGAGAAATCATTCAAGAAATAGATTCAGAATTGTAAATCAATTGAAATCTTGACAGATGCACTCTTTGAGTTTCTATAGAGAAATTTCAAAATGTCAATTTAACTCGGTAGGTTTAGTGTTAAGGGGCAATTTGAAATTTGAAATATTGTCTCGTATATTTCACTGTATTTGCGTAAATAAAATAGCAAAAATATTGTAATAAATATTATAATATAATATTAAAAATTATATATATGTTACATAGAGGGGCATAAGAATTTTAGCAAGACTTAGGTGGGCCATGCACAAAAAGGTTGGGAAACACTGATCTAGAGAAACGGCGCACGGATGAGGGACGTTTTAGTGGTTTAGTTGTATAATCGTATTGACAGTAAATTGTAAGATAAAATTAGGCAAAAATCAGGTGAGAAATAATAAGAATTATTATTGAATCCCTCAGTCTAGTCAAGTGATCTCCTAGCAGGACTCTTCGTTGCTAGAAGAGTTCCGGAAGTACAGGGGCGAAAGGTTTCCGGGTTTTATTTGAGTTTTAGTTGATTACGTATAACCGTACTGATAAGTAATCAATATTGAAAATAAGATGAAAGGAATTAACCCTTTGCACTCGATAATATTTGATATTATAAATGTTCGTTATTTCCTAATGAAATATCGATATTGCAACTAACGTGAAATATCGATATTGCAACTAACGTAAAATATCGATATTACAACTAACGTGAAATATCTCGCATAAATTAAGAGACAGGACTATTTGATACCTTACACAAAATTGAATATTGAATTTTTAATTTAATAATTTTGCTATGTTCAAATGGCGATTACTTGCCTCTCGAGTGCAAAGGGTTAAGATTGATCAATTAGACTTGCATTCCTTTGAGGACTCTAAGCAGGATGTCCTGCGAATAGGTTTCAATGAATCGTACTTTGAATTCCTAACCTCGATCTCGTAACAACTATTAGTGAATAATACCGGATGCATTAACCGTTTAACAGAATTAGTTAATACAGCGTTAGATTTTTTACATTTGATAACATTTATCCTCTTTCTAAGTGACATAACCTATACTATAAATTTCTATGATTTCTATGTCTATTCTCGTTATGGGGTTCTATTATTTATTTTATTTTCCTTTTTGCTGGACTCACTTCTGTTGCAACAGAGCCAACGCGACTGTTTTTATTATAGTTATTATTGCCAGAGTGAAAGGAGGGAAATCAAGAGGGAGAAAATTTGAATATATAAATTGTCAATCATTAAGTCACTCGGGAAACTACACGGTAGAGACTTCAATGCCCGTCGTTTGCTTTTATTGCGTCTCGCCCCTCTCCACGGTCTTTCCTCCATTCTTTCCTCTCGACGCGTGGTTCAGGCTCGGTCCTCCCACCTGAATCCTCTATTCCCGATGTCGCGTAATATCGTCGACCATAGAAGGAAAACAAATACGGGAGAGACAGCGTCGTTCGGGGGCGGTTTCGCCGCCATCGAACGGTTACCGATTCAAGGCGAACGTGGGTGATTCGTTTCTTTTTCTCTTCTTTCCTCCTTTTTTTTCTCTCGTTCCTCCACCGACGATGTTACGAAAAGCGGACATTACATAATCGGAGGCTGTAATCTCATCGCTTCGGGCCGTGATACCGAGTAATTTTACTGGCATCTCTGCCCGTAGCGATGATCTTTTTGCGTCGCGACCGTGCACCTTAAAATTTCATTTCAAAATTCTCTAAATATGTTAGAGTTCATTCCGAAAACACGTATTTGTTTATCGTGTACAAATCGTGAGTACCATAATGTTTAGATAGTGTTTGTAAGTTGATAAAGTGTTAAAAGAATTTTTAGTTTTATTTTCTTTGTTTATTTATTTATTGATTTATTGAGATGTTAATCGATTTAAAATGTAATGTATTGCGTAGATGCAGATTTTTTGTAAGGTAAATATTATTGTATTAAAATCCCGCGTATTTCAAGTCTAGCCAGAGGGCGTGAAAGGTTGGGGATGTTTACAAAAGAAGGAAAAAGCTTGTGAAGCAAAACGACCGTGAACGCTATGAAAAAACTTTGTCTCTCTTTGTCCACGGTAAACGACATGGGGCACCTTGCTTTCTAATTTGGTTACGTTTGCACGACGAATCGTAAACGCATGCTTTTGCGGCTTGTCTCTTGAATGTTTAGTGAAATTCTCGCCGTAACGGTTCGCAAACCTAACCTCGATCTATGACACTTTATTGCCCGCGTTTCTGGTCGAGATCGTGAAAAAATTGGTCGCCTTGAATCGACAAATGATTTCTCGGTATTGTCACGGTACACCGTGCGGCTAAGCGTATCGCATTT